ACCAGTAACACGAAACGGCCTCGTGAAAATTTTTGGGGTAAATAATTATCTTGGAAACCATGGAATTCAGGAACGTGAAATTTTAGGATAATGACGCTCTACCCACGACACGCGACCTTGTAAATTCGAATTCAGCGTTCCCACGTTTTCGGGTGTCATCTTTGGCCTCGTGAAAATTTTTGCAGGTAAATTATTATCTCGGGAACTACGGAATGTAGGAGTCGAAATTTCAAGGCAATGACCCCCTGCTCATGTACGACCTCGCAAATTCGAATTCAGCGTTCCCACGCTCTCGGGCATCACCTACGGCCCTGTGAAAATTTTTAGCGGGGGAACTATTATCCGAAAACCATAAAAGCCAGGGAGCTGAAATTTTACGACAGTGCCTTCTGTCCATATACAATCCTACAATTTTAAATTCAGCCTTCCCGAGTGTCCGAGTATCACTTACGGCCCCATGAAAGTTTCGGCAGGGAAAATTATTATCTTGAGGACCGCGGAAGTTGGGAATCTGAAATTTCAGGGTGATCTCCTCTAGCAATGTACAACTTCGCATATTTGGATTCAGCCTTCACACACACACCTGAGTACCATGTACGGCCCCGTGAAAGTTCTGGCAGAGAAATTATTATCTTGTGTGCGTGAAATTTTTACTGGGGAATACCGCAATTTAAGATCCAGATAACATTCCAACTATTTTTGCACAGACCAAAATGCAAAGCAGTGAAAATCAGTGGACGGAATTGCACAAAAAGCATAACCGCACCGGCTGCCCTGGCGCGCGCCGCTATTTGTTCCTACCGGAGCATTACTGACAGAAGCTTCACTTCAATGGAACGAACCGGGAAGTCGCACAAACTATCAAACGGAGGGAGAACGTTAGTCGTATCGAGACGGCCAACTGGCAGCGCTAGTCGTATCAAGACGTGGCGTCCGCGTTGGTTTCGAGACTCCGATCCCCAGGGTTCCAGAAGGGGTTTATAAAGGGTAAATTAATGGAGGGAAAAGGAGGGCAAAGGGGATTAGCAAGTGGAAGCCCTAGGTACAGCAAAACGTGGAATTTTCCAGAATATAGTAGAAGTGTTAGGAATTAGTGGGTGGAGAGAAGTAGGTCGAGTACTTAGGGTTACACGTGTGCACTTGATTTGAAAATGTACATCTAACGAACATCAGTAAACACCACCACTAATTCCCAATAACAATAATTGACTGAGCTCTAAGTAAGCCGTTTGTATCATCCATGTTGATGGGTGCCAAAGTAAGGGAAGTGTATATGCCTTACCTTACCTTGAATACCTTGAACAGCTGTTGTTTCATCGATCTCTGGTATATAAAGAGGAAAAAGAGGAAGTGTATATAAAGAGGAAAAAACAGTAGGAAAAAAAAAACAGTAGGAAAAACAGTTGAATTAAGACGTTTCGGTCCATTAAGTCATATACGTCTTAGCTAAATTTTGGTAACCCAAAAAGAGCTTACTTTTCACGTTCTTTCAACTCATAAATAGATTTGGGTTTGATCTCTTTGACCGGTTCACTGCTTGCAATCTGTGCATAGCTGCCAACTTGATCAGGCGCTGAGTTTGTGTTATATGGGCCAGCGTAAGAATTCGAGTAGAAGTTCGTCGGCGTCGAATACTGCTGCTGCTCTCCGCTCCCTGAGCTGGCCATGAAACCGCTGTAACCACTGTAGCCAGCGTTTTCCAAAGGGCCCAAATTTCCGGAATATGCGCTGCTACTGCTGCTGCTCGTTGTGCCAACTGGGAAGTACTGAAATGTGCCACTATGAAATCGCCGGCATCATGAGTCAACAGACAAATATTTCAGGCCACCACAAAGCATGCCAGCAACTGCTTTTTATTCAAAAATTTCAAAAATTCATAAACAGAGCATGAATTTACTCATTTTTGTTTTTTCAGAACAAAAAAATATCTCAAATTCTCGAGGGAGGGGACGCTGCTTTCCCGCAACTATTGGCATTCCTCCTTTCAACTGGCTCAACCCCCAAGTAATGCGCGGAGGAGGGTCTGCGCGATTGTAGGGGGCGCGGCTGTGGGGGTACACACCCGAACCGAAAAGCAAAATTTTATTTAAAACAAAAAAAAAAAAACTCACAAACCGTGGAAGATCCGGCAGTAGCTCAACTGAGCTGCCGCCGCACAATAACCTGATATACAAAAACACTCCCGCTTCATTTCTAATCACAACAATATATAT